AATACCTTCGAACGTGTGTTGATCTATAACCAGTAATGAATGTACATCAACTTCATCACCATACGATACATCAGATGATAAAATACGTAAAGATTTAGAGTTAGAACAACTAGAAACATTAGCTGCTAGGGTACTAGCACTAGCACGAGATGGATTAGCTTCATTATTATCCATAACATCAGTTCTCATACTAATAATACCAAATGTCTGTGATGATTCCTGATAAGATATACGTCTGAAATATAACACACATTACATTTAATTAAGATAGTCATGCAAAGTGTGGTAATACACCCACTTAGCAGCCATGTCTCAATGGTAGCCAATTCAAAAAGAACCAGCGGCTGCCAGGCAGGATACGCCTACATTTTCGAGAGATGGATAGAGAACAAGCTAAAAAGAAAGTGATTTTTCCTACAATCAAGGGCCATAATTCAGGAAATTACAATTCGATATGCGCAAATATCGAAAGGAACCTAGATCTTTGGGTTATAAACTTACATTTCAAGTTTCAACAAAATCGGATAAAAATTGTGACCTCTATAGGGTCCACAACCTTGATATACCATATTTTTACGCTATTTGAGAACGAACGGCGGCCATTTTGTCTGTCAGTTTTGGGCCGATTTTCATGAAATTCGAACTCGGCCATCCTCAGGGTTTAACGGTGATACAATAATACGTTTTTTTAAATCAAATAAAAATTATGACCTCTATAGGGTCCACAAGCTAAAAACGCGATTTTTCGTACAATCAAGGGCCATAATTCAGGAAGTTACGGTCCGATATGCGCGAATATCGAAAGGAACCGAGATCTTTGTGTTATAAACTTTCATTTCAAGTTTCAACAAAATCAGATAAAAATTGTGACCTATAGGGTCCACAACCTTGATATACCATATTTTTACGCTTTTTGAGAATGGAGGGCGGCCATTTTGTCTGTCAGTTTTGGGCCCATTTTCACGAAACTCAAACTCAGTCGTCCTTAGGGTGTAACGGTGATATAATAATACGTTTTTTTAAATCGGATAAAAATTATGACCTCTATAGGATCCACAAGCTAAAAACACGATTTTTCGTACAATCAGGGGCCATAATTCAGGAAGTTACGGTCCGATATGCGCGAATATCGAAAGGAACCAAGATCTTTGGGTTATAAGCATACATTTCAAGTTTAAACCAAATTGGATAAAAATTGTGACCTCTACAGTGTTCACAAGCTTTTTTGAAGTGATCAAGGGCCATAACGCCGACAGTAATTATCGAAAATTGCTGAAAATCAATAGGCTTCTTCGTCTCATGACCCTAAACACTGCGTATAAATTTAAAGTCAATCAGATATTAACTTTAGCCCATAGAGCGTCCACAAGCAATTGTGGACACCGGACCGCCGGAGTGACGGACGAACGGACGGGGGCGACAACAATATACGACCACATTTCAATGTGGGCGTATAAAAAGTGCTATTGTCTTTAGGATGGTGTTTACCTTGTGGCAAATGCTGTAGTATTTGCATAATAGCAGCTGTGGGTAACATTTTAACAGCAATAGCACAGAGTAAAAATAACCAGAGTGGCAACTGCTTCATTTGCATAAAAAGTAGGTCGCACACTGCATCTTGGGGTTTGTCTGTAATGTCACTAAACATGGAGGCTAATGAAGACGTTTCGCAATTGAACAGAAGAAAATGTAAACAACCGAGTGGTGGATATTGTACGCAGAGTAGGCCCTACGCCGGGTGTTTTAATTTTAGGGACTATTGAGGGATTAAAATTCTTCAACTTTCCTGAAGACAAAGAGCTCAATCTGCATCGCGTTGTCTGCTACGAGTATGATACGAGTCATGGTCGAGTGCTAGGCCTAGTGCTATAAATATATAATAAATACTGAGCTATAATAACATAATAGATTATAATAGCAGCAATATATATCGTCAAAAATGTACATATTTGGTGAAAGATGTTTGCATATTTGATTGTTAAATTGGCATTATATTGCATATTATGATATATTCCAAATCCAATATAGAGTACTGAGTAATGCAGGCCTGGAAGTAGATAGATACATCTTTATGTTATGATAATATGACCTCTCGCTCTAACTTGTCTAAGCTAAATCAAATCAAATCAATGTGCAATTAATGTAATGTAGTCAGAGACTAGAAAGAAATTTGGTTTAACATCCACTCGACACAAACTAGGTAATTTCGGGACTAACATGGTTCAGTTTTATTTCAATAATTCACTTGAGTTGATGGCTCTTTTTTAGCAGGGAGAGGAAACTGGAGAACCCGGAGAAAACCCACGAGGTTGGACAGGCGACACTAATCCTCGTCTCGTACATGCGGGGAATCAAAACCACGCCACTTGACTCCATGACATGTCATAGGTCCAATAAACGTATTAATACCCGGTAATTTAATTTGTAGGCCCTTTTCTTTAGTAGTTTCGCATATGCAGGACAAGAAGTAGTTGCGCTTCGATGTTAACCAACTCATTCCTTGCATACCTTATCGCATGCTATCTAGTATTTTCGTAATTTTAGAATTACATGTAGTTGTGATTTTTAAAGGATCAAATTTTAAATAGTAAGTAAGCTTTACCCATGAAGTCTGTAGTTGCACATGTTCTTTTTACATTCTATATTTTTTGTAAAAACAAATAAAATCTACAAACACAATAATAGGCCTACGTACCGCTAGGCTACCGAATAAAATAAATTTAGATTCATATGTTATCTTTAAAAGAAATTGAAAAAGAATCATGTGTGAGGGAATTAACTATATTTTCTGAAGAATCTGTTGTATTCTGGCAAAAGGATAATGGACAAGTCTAATTTTTTTCTAAGATTGTGTATCGAAAAATGTGATTCTATGTAGGCCTATAATTACTTGTGGTAAACAATTTAAGTGTTAAGTTTATGGTATCTGTAATATACCTTTCCAAATTTCATAAAATAAACATTATTGTCAATAATGAATTTTGTGTTACAGTCCTTGTCCATGTTTCGTTACTCATTATATAGTCCTCGTCTATTTCATGTATATTCCTGATTATGCAAATGAGCTAGGTTCCCGCGTTGTTTTTCCCGCCCGTTCATCACAACAGAATTAGCAGTGCCACAGACAGGACTTTTGTTTATATCCACGATATTTTCGTTAATAATATATCACTGTGGTGTGTATACTTTGGTAATTTCTGGTCTGTAGCCAGCGTGAGTTGCATTTTAAATTACCTTTGTTGGAATTTTTCGATGTGTTTCGTAAGTTGAAATTGTAAATTTGCAATAATTGTTGTCGTCGCCTCGTTGTAATTTTCATCATGGCGTGTGATACATCAACTTCCGCTAAAAGAACTGGCGCTTTGTTTACAGTGAAAAGGCCGTTTCGTAGCTTACAGTTAGTGCCGCCTAGCCCTATTAGGATTGTGTTGTATGGCTCGTCATATGTTAAACGTTTAGATACATTTTTAATGAATTACGGCCATTCGAATTTAGATCTAGATTTGAATTTATGTGAGGTGCATTGCTGGGGACATGGCGGATTACGAGTTCGACATGATCAGCATGGACGGCTTTGTGCGTGCAGCACGTAGCAGCCTTTTTCAACAGACTGAGATTATAGTTTTACACTTAGGTTCAAATGATGTTGCATCTGGCGAGTTTTTGCCGCATGAAGTGGCTATCGCGGTTGTGAACTTTGCGTCTTTACTTATGGCTAGGCATAGCCCTAAATGTGTCATTGTTAGCCAGCTTTTGCCGAGATGTGTTGAGCCGTTCCATGGATTTAATGATATGAGTCTAATTGTGTTATTAGTTTCTGGCGACATAGAGCTGGGCTTTGGCAGCCCCTTCAACATATTTACTCGGACGATGGCATTCATTTATCAAATACAGTTGGTAATATGTTATTTATGCGCAGCATCAGGGATGCATTATTGCGACATATCCGCTGGTATTTTGCGTTTAGTAATTTTTTACAATCATAATTGTGTTCCAATTCTTTGGTTATATTGTGCACCTATAAATATATAACGGTACTGATTCATTTGAGAGATAAACTGTTCGTGTTTGATCTCATGTGTTGTAAAAATTTTGATGTGTCGTCAGTGTAGTACAAATATTTATATGTTGATTTTACTATCATTATTAGTATGTGTGCATGCTCTTGTTACTATGGTTTTTAGTATGTGTGCATGTTGAATTTTCACAGCATTGGTCCGACCTTGATTCAATGGTCTTTGTGCATGCATAGCCTTGTGGGACTAATCCTTGTGTGTATACTGTTTTGTATACGAATAAAGTAGACTTACTGTTTGTTGTTATGTCCAGGTGGGGACTTGTTTGTAAGAAGGCTACATGAGTTTGAAGTACACATAGGCTGTGATTTAGCCCCGAAAATCGTTTCATCTCGTCCCAGCAAATTTCGGGTGAAAATCTGACGCTTTGCTGCATAAGTTAACAAGTAAGCTGTCACTGTAGTACACTTTTCTTTTGCGATGTTTTGCACAATCAGTCTAGCACTCGAATTACGCCTCGGACTATATTTGTCAAGTGTAGCCATAATGTGGCGAAAAAATCAAATTCTAAGCCAATCAGCAGCCATAAAAGCAAACAACGTCATTAAGTTACGGGTCAATAGCCATTAATAGACAAGGGAATAGCCTTTACGAGACGGAACACGTTGGTTTGTTTACATTTGTAAGAGAGAATTTCTCTGCAAATATGCCTGGATTATGGGATAATAACATCAGATAAATGTTGCGTTGCCACTGCAAACATGACTAGCCCTTAATTTGTGGCATTTTTATGGTCAAAAGCGAAATCGTATCAATGAATGTGATATTTCCTGGAAACAAGTATTTTTTCAATTTTATTTCAGTGAAATAATATTCAAAAGAATATGACTATAATATACAGATGAAAACGTTTTTGCATGATTGAAATACTGGTTCGGTATTATAATTATATATAATTTTGAGAAAAAGACAAAAATAATAATACTATCTGAGCTGAATGATACAACAGAATATTAATAATGATTCACCTAACATCTACCTCTGTACATGTCACCAATTATACTTGTTTTTAAAAAACAATAGACATATTAAGAGGGGTCAAATAAGTATACATTTATTTAAAGAAAGAAATAATAAAAAATAAGAAATGAATGCAATTTTATATATTTCCTCATATAATATCCAACAATAACACTAGTATTATCGAAAGATTTATATAATAATAACATCGTCATTTATAAAGCCTGTTAATACTGATGGATGGTTTCTAATGTGCTGTTGGTTGTTATATTCACTGAATATTTACTTACAGATCAGGTTTTGTGCCAATATGCACTATCCAAAATTAAAAGGTACATACTAGTATATACAAGAGAAAAAAAACAGTTATCATAATAAAAGGGTTTCAGTAAAACGAATTAGGAAACAAGTAAAATAAAGACATCTGAGTAAGCATAAAGTGACACAATAAAGCATACAGAATAAAATATGAAAACATTAAAGCCATGCACTGTACATTTAAGTAAACATGAGTGTGTTTAAAATATGTAAGTAATATTTAAAAATTGTTTACTGAAATACATGTACATGTTTACGCATAAAAAATCACATCATTTCATCAACATCACTATTGAAGTCACTGTCAGCCTATGTTTCTGTTACAACTAATGATTCAGCGGCTGTCGTTTTTTCATTCGCACAATTTTCACATTTACTTAAGTCTGTACAAGAAAGTTTTGACTTGTAGCAAGAACACCTATCTGTACTGCATCCTGATTTACATCCACAGTTTAAAACATTGAGAATTTCCTTTGGTGCTTGATCTGCAGTCATCCATACAATTGAAATGGTGTTACCCTCAACAGTCCATCCATGCTTTGTTGGGGATGGGGTTTTAATCCAAGCATTGAAGGCCCTGCGATGAATGGCAGCCTGATAATTAACACGTTTGATATGTCATGTTAGAGCATTGTTAGTTGGAGGCATACTCTTTTCACTTGTTGATTTTGTGCAGAAAAGTTTGTACCTTGCCTCATTTACACTGTTACATTTGACATCATAAATATGACATACAAACTTTTCAAATTTAGATACAGTTTCTCTCAAATCAACCATGTCAAAACTTTCACCAAGATGACCTAAAACATCTAAATATGAATTGTTTTTTTCAGCCAGTTCAAATGCTTTTTTCTTTCCTTTCCCATAAAAAGAACTTGTTGAGTCACATCCAGAAAAGCAATGTAGTCCAATAAGAGCTTTACAAAGATTGGTACCAAGAGTTCTGGAAATTTTTGAAATGTCAATAATCCTTGATTTTTCCCCTACGCCTGTAAGAAAATATAACTGCGCTGGAATTTGACATTGAAGGCTTGTACAAATGACTGCAACATCAGTATGTAACAATAATCTTGTGTCTGCCTCCTCGTGATCACATTGCAATGTTTTAACCAGTTCAACGTTAAGTTGTTTATCATGGACCTTCAGAACATGACATTCGGGACCATGTGCTATATAGATATCAATGTCATTTTGGAAACTTGAGGTGTCTATATCACGCCATACACCAAAAAGAAATTCAATAAGTAATTCTTTGTTATCACCATTAGATAGGTACTTTTTCCATTGTTTAGGAGTTCTTTGGTCTTTACCATAAATCTTTATTTTCTCTGAACCAGTTAAAGCACGACGACCACGCTCAGCATTTTTAAGAGTGTATCCGCGAGAAGACCATGCAAAAATCGCAAAAAGTGCTAAGATGGGGGGTCGGAAGTTTTTGATCAAACTTATGGTATGACACCCCCTAGGGGCAAGAGGTAACATGCTGAAGTGGTTACAGTCTGATGTCGCTCTAAAGGACTGTACAGGAATTATTCATTTTATGGGTAAAATTGCGGTTTTCACATGTGTATTTATCACCTTTTTTAAGCACAGACTGCATTCTATGGTGGAATAGCAACCTTCTAATTTGAAAAAAATATCAGTACATACTAATTTTGTGTGGACTTGTTTTAGGGTACCATATTCACATTGTCCTTATAGTGCAGAAAAAGATACACTGTAACTTTTTCTTTCATGGTCGCAAGTAGAATTTCTTTGGATGGTTTTGAAGTGCTAAGCACATAGTATCCATAGGTGTAAAAAAAATGACTGGAATGCAACATACTTAAAATATACAGCTTATTGAAAAGTGCTAAAAAAAAAAGCTTTTGTGATACATTTTTTGCAAATTTAATTAGAGAAATAAAATTTTTGACTTTTATACGTTTTCATCATATCCATAGCCATTATTTGTACCATGTTGTACTCTATATAAGTGTGTATTTGTATTTATTGTATATTTGGTATTGTCGTATTGTCCCTTTAACATATCTGTTGTATTGTCTCTTTAAGATTTCATTTTCAAACAAGTTACCGAAAATGGCTACAAAATGTTTAATTTCAGAGCATGTTTCCGCTATTCATTTTGGGACACATCCACTGATTTCTACAATACAGAAATGTGGAAGCTTAAATATTAACGGCAACGAAGCCTAATTGCGTCGAAGTGGGTGACATTAAACAGTGTAGTATGGTAGCTACAGCTCTCGGGCACCTTCAGCTGCACCTTCAGGGCCGGATTTAGAATAAGAGAGGCCCTAGGCAAACCCCCTGAACAGGGCCCACGACATGGACCTTGGGGCCCTGGGACAAGCAACTCGGTGAGAGGGTGGGTCGGGGGAAGTCATGCGGTTGGTGGTTCGAATCTCACTTTTAGGTGAATTTTTCATTTTCGTTGGATTATTTTATTTAAAATAATGTCTATTTGAGAGTAATGGATATGTTTGTTAAGATTGAGCACGTCGAAACTCCAATGGAAGGTCGTGGACAACTGCAGAAGTCAATTCCCGTTGACGCCAGATGAGCCATGAACGATTACAGGCCTTTGAAAGTATTTTTTTTCCAGATATTTTTATAAAACAGATACTAATGTATTTTAGGGCTGGTAGTCAACACCATATGAATGAAAAGGAAAATAAATTGTTAGTTTTTTTTTTATCTACTACGGTTAATTATCTCCAAAATAGGGAAATTATAGGTTAATTTCATGAGTTATTGTTTCCTTTACCTAGTTTTTGTCAAGTCGATTCCGGTCATTTTTATTTTTTGTATCAAATGTTGGGAGGTTGCTTGTTCACGTGAGCATAAATTTTTTAAACCCACCCCATGAAAGAAGTAGCTATAGGGCGTCAAACTTTGGGTGACAAAAAATGGGGAATTTAGACAGGCTTTGATATCCAGTCTGTATACAGATCTCGTTCGCCAGTGGTAACAGCACTGAGTCATCGATAAACTGTGTGAGTTTGGTCTTTCTGCTACGTATAGTAAAGGTGTAAGGACTTGCCAAAGTTGGTATTTGAGAAAAGACAGATTTTGGCAATTTCACCATATGAAAAATGTTTTTTCAATTTTCTCATACAGGAATTGAAAGATTTATCTAATATTGCACATTTATGTGTTTTGGGACTATCCCAACTTATAAACCAAATTTGGTCAAAATCTGTGATTGAAGCCTTAGCACCTTCTGCATGGTTTTCTCGCAGACACGCTCTTAATCGATATGGCAGGATATCTGTCCGTCACAAAATCCACCCGAGAACACCTATATAGCCCGGCAAGATGAATAATTTGCTGAAAAATAGCATCTGCTAGCTCAACAAATGTGGAAGGTACACGAACTATTGCCTGAATTAAAGCCATGCCATCTATTAACAAACAAAACTTTTCTCCATCAGGTAAAACGGTCTTTAAACAACATTCAACTTTCTTCTCCATTATCGTAAGCATCGCAGCTTTGTTTGTTTTTGCTAAACCACCACCAGTGCTGCTGAGGGGAAATGAAACGGAACTTAAGGAATAGGAAAGTATGTTTTTCAAATCAATTTGACGACTTTGACCTATTACTAAGAGTCTTCCAAAAAACTTTCGATCATTCTGCATTAAGTGATCCTTTCCACTCACTGTCTTGAATTGTCGAGTTTTTATGTTTTCAGTAAAAGTTTTCAATTTCATGGCCTTGATTGGTGAAAAAACATCCTCAGTTTTCGTCACTATACGCTTTGTGATATAGTCTTTCAAAGCAATTTCCCCTTGATTCTTGGCTGTTAAAAGGTCATTGGTCACAATGTCCGAAGCAACTACACCAGAACTTAAGCATGTCAGTCCATCAATGGTTCCACTGAATGGATTAATCATGCTTTCAATGGTAGAAATGATTGATTTTACATCTTCCTCTTCCTTCTTAATTCTAGATTTCGGTAGATCCTTCTGTATATCAGGGTTGGAAGTATTAGCCATCTTTTCACACATACGTGTTATTGCAGCTCTGTGTAATACCAATAATACCACCCTTTGTCTTCGAGTCCCTGTTGCATGTTTGCTCAATAGCCTGGTCACATGCTATGGACGAAAATGGGTAACTGTTCTGCCTCTGAACTGTCCATTGACCATTTGCAATAATTTCACTGTCAAAACCAGGGTGTGTTTCCTCTAATTGCATCATTTCCATCCAATAGATAGGTAAGTACCTGGAATAATTCATTCGATCATAAGCAAAATAATATGCCATCATGGACCTGATTGAAGCTAAGTGGATATTCCAGTTTGATTCCCTAGTAGCACGTATAAACAGCAACAAGGACTGCATCATATCAATGTATGAACTCCAAAATGCAAATGTTGAACATTCATTGGACTTGGTGGTAATAAATTCATTGTACAACCCTTTCAATGACTCAAATTCTTCCGAGTATATTAGCTTGAAGAATGATGTTGACCTATATGATTGCTGTAAATTTTCAATATGGGCTGATTGTATGGCAGATGAAATGTCAGATATTGATGCAAAAAAGGCCCGAAGACGAAGACGTTGCATGGCCTCAAACAATAATTTATGAGCTCTAATACTTCTGTTGTAGTGATGACCAGATACAACTCCATTTATCGAACCTTGGGCAACCACCTCAGATTCAATCAAAATGTCCTGCATACCAGCATCTTTAAACCGCTTTCCTAAAATGACCATAAAAGATATGGAAGTGTGGAACTCGCCAAGTCTATATTTGATGCTGAAGGAATATCATCTCCTTTTAATATCACATTGAATCCTGTCCAACCAGGAACTAGCGAAGTCTCACATTGGGAGAACCTCATTAAAACAAAAGCCAAATCTATGTTAAGGCCACCAACAATAACTTTTTCAAAATAATTCTCATCGAGGCTAATATCAGCTAGGTGACCTGGACCCTGTTTCTTCCCATGTTGATATGGCACCAAAGCAACTGGTTGGGGTTTTATAGTTTTTTGTTGCTTACTTATCTTTACTTCTGTTGCATGGACTTCTGTTAAAACTGGTTTCTTACTCTGTACCATGATACCATTTGTGTGGTGGGTCGTTCCTTTCCCCAAAATTGTCTCCTCTCCAAAATCAATGTTATCCCACACAAGTATGGTGGGTACCTGCTTTGCGAATCCAGGTGGAACCTCTTTCATGCAGGTAAGTTGCAACTGGGCTAAATCTGTTTCATATGCCACAATTTTTGATCTTGATGGACAATGTCTTAATTTATTAAGCAGCATTAAGAGCTGCGAGGAACCAGCCAAATCTATGTTAAGGCCACCAACAATAACTTTTTCAAAATAATTCTCATCGAGGCTAATATCAGCTAGGTGACCTGGACCCTGTTTCTTCCCATGTTGATATGGCACCAAAGCAACTGGTTGGGGTTTTATAGTTTTTTGTTGCTTACTTATCTTTACTTCTGTTGCATGGACTTCTGTTAAAACTGGTTTCTTACTCTGTACCATGATACCATTTGTGTGGTGGGTCGTTCCTTTCCCCAAAATTGTCTCCTCTCCAAAATCAATGTTATCCCACACAAGTATGGTGGGTACCTGCTTTGCGAATCCAGGTGGAACCTCTTTCATGCAGGTAAGTTGCAACTGGGCTAAATCTGTTTCATATGCCACAATTTTTGATCTTGATGGACAATGTCTTAATTTATTAAGCAGCATTAAGAGCTGCGAGGAACCAGTCAGATGACGAGTAGTTAAACCTAGACATAAAGATTTGGGAGTCAATTTTCGACCATTAGATGCTAAAGAAACCAAATCCTGACAAATTGACAATAACTTTGGAAGTACATCATCTGAAACATCAACAAAATTATCTAGCACAGGATCCTCAGATGCCCCAACAGCCCAGGCTAAAAAGTTAAACAGGACTGCTGGAACCACTGATCTTACTGCATCAGTTGTAAGATCAACAGATGTGGGTGGCCATGGACATGTAAGGCCTGCAGATTCATTCAAGGCACATTTCACTTGTAGTCCAGCATTATACAGTGTCCTCACTGGATTTTCATCAAAAGCTGGGAATGTCGCATCCTCACTCCCTGTACTGGCACTATCCTCTGTTACTGATGAGAATGATTAATTCTGAAGGAAATCCCCTGCTGTTAAGGTCTCTACATAAACAATTTCACTGATATTCCTTTGGTCTGGAGAATGGAAATTAAGTTGAGGAAAGTCTCTCTAAAGGAAATATTTCAGCTGATCATTCCTGAAAGAGAAAATCACACTTAAAGCACAATAAAAATAATGAGTATAATGTTCTAATCATCAACATTTTGCCCACAATAGTTAACTGAAGTAGCAAATTGGACAATTGTTTATACATGTAAATGTTAACATGTGGAATTACAAAATTTCTACATGGAAGTAGTATTTTTATTAATAAACCTTCTTCAGAGTATAATTTGTTAATTTTCTCTAGCATACATTTCCATTTTGTCCAATCCAAATGAATAACCAGATTTCCATTTCACCCATCTCTTGGTATACACTGACAAATGTGTCCGGAAATGCAGTGGAAAGAAATGAATTCATACATACACACAGTTGCATTATATAAAAAGGAAATAAAAACACACCTGTACATGAAGTGAACACCTTTCTTCTCCAGCATATCATTTAATGTATTTGTTAGTCTAGTCATGCGTAGAACTTCCTTGTTGTTAATAATTCTCTCTGTTACAATGTCTTTACCATATGTAATAGTCACAAAGACTACGAAATATTCAAACAGAAAGGCATGATAAGGCAAACAGAAGAAATATTAAATGTAGACTCATGGCACGCATTGGTGGGGTGGGGGGGGGGAAGGAGGGCTGCAGGGGTCCCAATATGCCAGTGGCTCCCCATATTTGTTCTAAAAAAAATTGTACCATTAACAAAATGGTACATTGAGGTAGAATTTAACAATGGGGACTTAAAGTTCCCCCGCTACAAGTCGTTTGGATGGTACGAAAAAACCGAGGTTCAGACGACATGGTATATGCATATATATACGGATAGAAGGTCAGATTCCTGTGTTTAAATGAAGCCTGAGAACGGTTGTACTCCCACAGTCCCACTACACCTAGGCTATAGTACACTATTTGTAGGCCTATAGGCCTAATATTATTTAGCATAATACAATAAAGTATAGAGACTGCATAGGCCTATTATATAATGATAAATGCTTTTTACTTACCAGCTGTAGTTGTTTGTACTTGTACCAATTGATCTCGTACCCTCTTTCTGCCAACGCCATACACAAATGATGTTACTTTTTTACAAATAATGCAAACTTGGGGTAAAATGGATTTTCTCTTACTGACTGTGGCGGTAGTTAATGGTCCATGATGCGAGCGCAATTTTCTTTTTTTTGCGGGGGAAATTTTAGCTGTTTGTGTCCTAACATTAACTTCACTTTCTTCAACAGTTTTGGAATGCTGAGCACGTTTCATACACTGTTTTTCAGCTCCTTTAATTCTTAATTTGTCCGTAAAACGCTGGTAACATGGAAGATGATACCCCAATGTCTCGTCTGTACATTCCTGGAATTCTTTAGCTAACAAATCCGCATTTTTCTACGCCAAAAGCCTGTCATTTCCGTCTGATTTCTTCCACTCGTTAGCGCACACCTTAAATTTTGTCCAGCTTGTCGCAGTAAACGGTTTTAGCTCAGCTGATTTTACAGAATCTATATGAAGAATATAACGAACAGTTTTATCTCCTCTGTCCGCCATGTTACTATCAAAATGTAAACAGAGTGGTGATCTTTGACACCACACGACCCGTTGACCCTTACGTCGTGTATGTCTGATTGGCCAATTATGTCACGTGATCTGTTAAAACCAAATCACCGCGAAATTCAAATACCATTGCACATTGATAAATAAGCCCATATTTAATTTACGTTTTCTATCAAACGTCAAAGAATTGACAAAAGAAAAGTTGTGTGACACTACAAAGTAATACTAGAAGAATTAGATGATGTAGTTTTTTTTCCACCCGAAAATGGTCGGAACAGAGAAACAGAAGCAAGCTAGCTAGAAATTTCAGACCACCCATAACTCTTTATTTTTTGCAGCCTCAAGATGTCAAAAAGAAAGAGAGACGATCAAGTTCCATCTGTCACTTCAGAGAGCGAAGATGAGACAGCCCAGGTACCCATGACAACAACCGCAAAAGAACGTTTAACAGATTTACTGATAACAAAACTTATCAAAAGAGGTTTAATCATGGTATCTCCATCATCTTCATCAGTACCTACATGTACTTCTGTCAGCACTCCTGCCACCATCACAGCTTCGTCCATTAATATATCGACGTCAGATCCATCAGGACCAAATATCTTCTCGGTCAATGCAGCAGATATGTTTCAAGTTTCCGATCCTGTACCTGTCCATCAGCACCAAGGTACTATGACTAGTCTGACATGCATGTCAATTTCCCGACATATATCCGATAGGCTTCGCCAGGATATTTGGACGGATAAGTTTGTGGATTTGTCATTACTCCTGCCGGGTAATATTATACAAACGTAGTTAGCATTGAATATTTCTGACACAGATAATGAACCAACTATCAAGATTTCTTCATCACCGAAGTCCAAATTGTTATCGTTTGAGCTTTGGCAGAAAGCCTTTTCGATTTTTATGGATGTTATGATACAAAAAGATCCACTAGTAGCATCCAAGTTATTATCGTATTCCTCACTCATATCTGAGTTGGCACAGACTTACGGCGGCAGGTCCTTTTTGTATTATGATACAGAATTTTGTATGCTGCGTCAATCAACCCCATTCCCGTGGGATTCGATGCATGCCGACCTATGGCTACTAAATCGCATTTTATTTGTGCAAAAGACGGGGAAATGAACAGCTGATTTATATAGCGCACGTACTCCATGTACAGAGGCATGTCCACTGCGCATACAATTAAATTAATTAATCCTGATAACAAGATGAGTTTTAAATCTTGATGTAAAACAAGAAAGAGTTTAATGATGATTTAATGATCTCTGGACGATTGTTCCGCAGTTTAGGCGCATTCACTAAGCACGATACGTATCCAAATGATTTTAATTTGCACCTTGAGGGAACTTGTAGTTGTATTTGCATAAGGTTAGATAAGTATATTTGAGCTAAGCCATTCACACACTGATACGTTAAAGACAGACTTTTGAAGATGATTCTTTCATGAATTGGCAGCCAATGGAGTGATTTCAGAACAGGAGTAATATGAGAGTATTTTGATGATCTGGTAAGAATTCGAGCTGTGGTATTTATTTTGTAAAAGTTGATTTTTTTAAATATTGGCACTAGATGTTTCTATTAACAGGCTGTTACAGTAGTCAATCCTTGAGAATACCAAAGAACATAAAAGTGTAGCAGCTGCTTCCTGGCTAATAAGTGTCTTATATGGCCAATGTTCCTGGATCGAAGATTACAGTTTCGACAAATTTCACTAATGTGACTGTCCATGCTCAAATTGGACCCTAAGAGGACACCTAACTTCTTCACAGTGTCTCATGGTACAACTATTGCATCTCGTACAACCATATCATTTGAACTTGTATTTTTGCAGATATGTATTTGGACCACAAAAATATATTCTGATTTAATTAATTCAATTAAATTTAATTTCAACATATTTCTTGTCATCCTATCTTTAATCTTAGAACTAGTATTCTAGCTCTATGCTTTAATGTCATGTGTACAATTAGGGGATGGAACAGTTTTTGAAAGGGAATAATTTGCGATCAGCTGTGTATCATCTGCATATAGTTGACCTAAATTCTTAGTATACATTACAGAAAAGACAGGTCCAAGGACTAAACCTTCTGGACCGGCCCAACACAGGGTTGCTGGAAGTCGGTTGTTTGGGGCATTATGTGGCCGAATAATCCAGGCAATGAATGGTTTTATTGGGAAAATGAAGTCATTTTCTTCAAGTTCGACCATCAAATTTAATATGAAAGAAATCCGTGCCAGTCATTTTGTCAAAACCAAATATTATTATTAGTAGTCCCCAACTTCCATTATTAATAGAATTGTCCTCAGCCCCGCAGTGGATGAGATATAGCATCATGAAATTTATATGTTTTAGCATATAGCAAAAGCTACGTCTCAAAATAAATTCCTCAAAGCCTCAAATGGTTTCGGAAAAATTTAATAGTCATATATATTGAAGTAGTAGACAAGATCATTCATAAAAAAATAATTAAAAAAAATAAAAAATCAATAGGCAATTTATGGGAAACATTTGAATTTAGGGAATTTTTTTGTAAAAAATGATGTTTTTTTACACTAAAATGGCCATAGCTGGTTCTCCGTAACTACAAGGTTGGTGACACTCATATTTCATGTGGGGTATATGGGGTACCCAATGACCAAATCTGCAAAGTTTGGTCAAAATCGCCCGACACCGCTTGTGCCGGTTTTTCTAAATTTTGCATGATTCTCTCGTGAACTCATTCTTAACGAAGTGTTGCTTGGCTACAATGTCTTGGAGAAATTTTTTTTATGCGAGGGCTTTGCTTGCGGATTTAGGATCCCATACAATGGGGAACGGGTGTTTTCTTGGGCTAGGAACCACTCCTCGTGTTATCAAAATAGGGACATTCTGCTTAAGAAATTGAATGATGAGCTACAAGCACATAGAGACATGGGCCCCTTTTTAGTATAGTTTGTTTAAATATTTTTATTATTGTTAAATCATATATATGATTTTAATTCGTCATTAATAAATGACAATGTACACCATTCGTTCTTTTGTTTGTTTTTTGCTAGGGTATGGGGTTACTTTGGATGGAATCACAAGTAAACATTATTGTCAATAATGTGTTACAATCCTCGTCCATGTTTCGTTACTCTTTATATAGTCCTCGTCTATTTCATGTATATTCCTGATTATGCAAATGAGCTAGGTTCCCCGGTTGTTTTTCCCGCCCATTCATCACAACAGAATTAGCAGTGCCACAGACAGGACTTTTGTTTATATCCACGATATTTTCGTTAATAACCCTCCACCTCCCCTGCTCCGCCTTGAACTTGGTCATTTATTTGTTTAATTTTAAGCCCAACCCACATTTTTAAGACTGAAATATGATTTTATTTTGAATTATTAGTGTTTATGCATGTAGTATTGTTTGTTTAAATATTTTTATTATTGTTAATTCATATTTCATTTTAATTTGTCATTAATAAATGACAATGTACACCATCCGTTCTTTTGTTTGTTTTTTGCTAGGGTATGGGGTTAGTTTGGATGGAAACACAAAATATTATTTTGCTCAATTTTCAGTTGCAATTAGCTTTTAATGAAACAGTAAGCCTAATACTTTTATGCTATTCAAAATCACATTTCCCTTTTTATTGGTAGGCATTAATCCGACCAATAAAATATTTACTGAAGCACTATCACTAATTTTAAACCATTTAGTAATTCAAAATAATTCAAAATGTGATTATCTAGTAATAGTATGCTGTATGGTTAACTTCAGTTTGTATGGCAGATAATTCCATAATAGTACACAGTATAAATTAAATTCTCTATTTCTAAATAATCAGTTGACAAAAAGATAGGTTGCCAGGCAACAAAACATACGCCCACAGCAGCTAAATTGTCCGAGCGGTCGACAAGGGTTGTCGCATATTTATTCTTTTGTAGGTAATAAGGGGAATTTAATAGACAATTTCATACAGATGACATTATAATTTTCGTCGTTTTAGGGTTCA